TTTCTTCTGCTTGATGCAGTTAGTCTCCGTTCCATATCAGCAGAAGGGCACGATCACTGCTGCCGACAAGTTCTACCCACGTCACCCCCCGGCATCGGCCTACACCTGGCTGCTAAGTGACGACGCACAGCCATCTGCTGCTGACCTGCAAGGCATCACAATTGGCCGACAAAGCTTGTCAACGGCATCGACGTCATCAACGCTACCGTCTTTGGGGGATATAAAAGAGATCCCAGCGCCTGTGCGCCTCAGTTGGCCAGGAGACAGCAGCCCGAACATGTCTTCTAGAACACTTTTCTTCTGCTTGATGCAGTTGGTCTCCGTTCCATATCAGCAGAAGGGCACGATCACTGCTGCCGACAAGTTTTACCCACGTCACCCCCCGGCATCGGCCTACACCTGGCTGCTAAGTGACGACGCACAGCCATCTGCTGCTGACCTGCAAGGCATCACAATTGGCCGACAAAGCTTGTCAACGGATCGACGTCATCAACGCTACCGTCTTTGGGGGATATAAAAGAGATCCCAGCGCCTGTGCGCCTCAGTTGGTCAGGAGACAGCAGCCCGAACATGTCTTCTAGAACACTTTTCGTCTGCTTGATGCAGCTGGTCTCCGTTCCATATCAGCAGAAGGGCACGATCACTGCTGCCGACAAGTTCTACCCACGTCACCCCCCGGCATCGGCCTACACCTGGCTGCTAAGTGACGACGCACAGCCATCTGCTGCTGACCTGCAAGGCATCACAATTGGCCGACAAAGCTTGTCAACGTATCGACGTCATCAACATCAACGCTACCGTCTTTGGGGGATATAAAAGAGATCCCAGCGCCTGTGCGCCTCAGTTGGCCAGGAGACAGCAGCCCGAACATGTCTTCTAGAACACTTTTCTTCTGCTTGATGCAGCTGGTCTCCGTTCCATATCAGCAGAAGGGCACGATCACTGCTGCCGACAAGTTCTACCCACGTCACCCCCCGGCATCGGCCTACACCTGGCTGCTAAGTGACGACGCACAGCCATCTGCTGCTGACCTGCAAGGCATCACAATTGGCCGACAAAGCTTGTCAACGGCATCGACGTCATCAACGCTACCGTCTTTGGGGGATATAAAAGAGATCCCAGCGCCTGTGCGCCTCAGTTGGCCAGGAGACAGCAGCCCGAACATGTCTTCTGGAACACTTTTCTTCTGCTTGATGCAGTTGGTCTCCGTTCCATATCAGCAGAAGGGCACGATCACTGCTGCCGACAAGTTTTACCCACGTCACCCCCTGGCATCGGCCTACACCTGGCTGCTAAGTGACGACGCACAGCCATCTGCTGCTGACCTGCAAGGCATCACCATTGGCCGACAAAGCTTGTCAACGGATCGACGTCATCAACGCTACCGTTTTTGGGGGATATAAAAGAGATCCCAGCGCCTGTGCGCCTCAGTTGGCCAGGAGACAGCAGCACGAACATGTTTTCTAGAGCACTTTTCTTCTTCTTGATGCAGGTTAGTGCAAATAACCACTGTCACTCCTATAGGAGCAACGATCTTTGTTTGCTGCTGTTCCCGAGCCAACAAACGTTGTGTACTGCCTTTTCTGAAAGTATGTGTGTGCTGTACAATTTGTTATTGCAGTGGGGTGATGTTGAGCTAAATCCAGGTCCCACTGTAGAATAAATGCTCGACGAAATAATGAAATCGCAAAAGAACATTGAAGGTGACATTACTGAAATCAAAGAAAATATAAAAAAAACCGAAGGCTCGATCACCGCTCTCAACACTAGACCAAAAGAAGTAGAAGAAAAACTCATAAAAATAAACCTAATAGAAACAAAAGCGCTTGCATGCGAAACCGCGGTAGCAACAATGGAGAGAACTATACACAGTCTGACAACTAAATTGGATGACCTAGAAAATAGAAGTCGCCGAAACAACGTCATTATAGGTGGTATTAGTGAAGCCAAGGATGAAAATGAAACCAGCCTTACTGAGATCGTCCAAGAAACGATTTTAATGGACAAACTTGGAATCGAGCGCTTGCACAGACTGGGCAAAAAACAAGAGGGAAGGACTCGGCCAGTAATACTTAAGCTTGTAGACTTCAGAGAGAAAATACTTATACTTAAAAATACATTCAAACTCAAGAATACTAGCATCAAAATAAGTGAAGACTTCTCAAAGCGTGTTCAGAACATCCGACAACTTTTATGGGAAAGTTCAGAGACCGAACGAGCAAAAAGTGAACGAATCAAATTGAGGTTCGACAAGATTATAATAAACAGGTTATATACGCTTGGGACGAAGTACGAGGGGAGAGATACAGACTATCAGGGCCTTCAAGACATTGACATTTAACTAACAAAAGATCACAGCTGCACCTAATTAATATAAACGCTAGAAGCATTGTGAACAAAACGACCGAGTTAGAGCAAATTCTTCTTACACGAGAACCGGACATAGTCATTATTGTTGAGACATGGCTTAACCTATCGATGAACGACTCTCAAATAATTCTGTCTAACTACGCAATACTAAGAAATGATCGACCAACCAGAGGGGGAGGCGTTGCACTTTTGATAAAATCTGGGCTTCAGTAGGCTCGCTTAGACGATATCAAAAAGCAGGAGTCAGCTTGGTGCATTATTCAGATTAATAACACACGCGTAATAGTCGGCGGAATTTATCGACCCCCAAACGCTGACGCGTCTGTTTTGGAAGATATAAAAGAGTACCTTTTACTGCATGTGAAAAATCACAATAAGATCGTTCTTGCTGGCGATTTCAACCTACCTCACATCGACTGGAAAATGGTGCATCCAGGATCGGATGAAAGGGAAAGTGCAGAAGCTTTACTTGATATCGCCTTTACGTTTAATCTCGACCAACTTGTATGCGAACCCACAAGAGTTCAAGGTTCTTCGCAATCTCTACTTGATCTTGTCCTGATTAGCAACGAGTTATCCGACGACAGTGATGTAGACGTCTGCGATGGTATCAGCGATCATGAGATGGTTGTTGCCTCTTTTCCCCTAACAATGCACAATCGTGACTTGACAACTACTATTTCTGTATACGACTTCACGAATGCAGATGATGTTTCCATCTTGGATCATCTCGAACTCTCCCTCGATTTATTTTGCTTGCTTTCAAAAACAGAAAATGCGCGTACGAATGACTTGTGGAACTCATTCAAGAAGATTGTAGTCGATTGCATAACTAAATATGTTTCAACAAAAAATAAAAAATAAACAAAAAGAATCCTTGGATTACACGTGAGATAATCCAAACTGGCCGTAGAATTTCAAGACTGCGAAAGAAAAAAAAGAAAAAAACATCCACATCAACAGACAAATACCGCCTTCTTGAACTGAATCAAATCCATAAACAAATGATATCCTCAGCTAAGGCACGGTACTTCAACTATACACTTCCAAACTTTTTCGTATCATCGCCACAAAAATTCTGGAGACACTTTCGATCGAAGCGAAAGATGACAAACAGTTTCCTAATAAATGGTACTTTAACACAAAAAGCATCCGTAATCGCTGAAGGCCTAAATAGTAATTTTGTTTCTGTGTTCACCACTGATAACCATTATGTTCCTCCTGTTGAAAATTTAGATGGCATACCAGCAATCGATGAACTCTACACATCTGAAGAAGGTATCTTGTCCTTATTGCTTAACCTTGACGATAAAAAAAGTCCCGGCCCAGATTTAATTCCGACGGCTTTTTTTGAAGCGATATGCTGAATGGATTTCTAAATACCTGTATATAATTTTCCAGAAATCCTTGTCTCTCAGTTCCCTTCCCGATGATCGCTAAATAAAGTACTCCCTCCTCCCTTAAGAAAAAGAAACAACATCCAAACGCTTTTTTTTTTTTTACTTCTGAGGGCACCATGGTCAAGGAGATGTTGGGGCATTGTTACCATGCTGACCGAAATTCCTTCCGATTCTCCAAACGATTTTCCTATGCGTCCTCTTCTCCCTTCTGAGAACTGCTGCGCAGTCGGGGACTCGAACCAGGTGGCGTGCCAGGAGTGGAGTCAGAGCATCTTGTGCCGCAGGTCCTTAGGTAGGAATTTCTTGAGTCATTGTTTGCGGGCATCCAAAGCCCGCTGCTAACCGTCTCTCTTGCCTTAGCGTACACAGTACACCCATCCAGCAAAGCTGAGTCAGAGTCCGTTGCAGCACGAGCCTGGTGGTGGTTGACTTAAAATAGTAGGATAACTCGCGCAGTGAAGTTCAATAGATATACGAATGCGTCTGCGGCTGCGCCCGTAATATTGCACGGCTCAAGGGTACGTCATCAGTCAACGTGAAAGTGACCCGCTGCTCTGGAAGGAGGTCAGACGTGGCCTCGCTGCGCCGAACCAGACTTCATACTCCTGCGGCTTGTCTCGAGCGCGCTGTTTCTCGGAGAGCTCGCACCTCTGCCGGCAATATCAGGTTGCAATCCACGAGGTCTCTATTTGGAGTATGCAAGGTGAAACTTGATGACTGCAATCTATGCGTCGGTGGCGGAGGGTCAGCAGAAAGGACCTTCACAACGGGGATGCCACCGTATCGTTTTTTTAACCGCAACAGAAGATAAGACATGTGTTCCAGGATGCTTCAGGTGGTTCACCATTCTCGAGAACCCTGCACGACCTTCAACGAGGTAACCTACAACGAAAGTATGTATTGTCCTTTCATATAGCAACGTGTTAAAGTTTCGTGTTCAAGGCCACACCTACCGATAAAGAATACCAGTTCATTCCAGCGTGACGTCATGTGGTAAATATTGACAGGGGCGTCAGTTAATTTTCTCTGTGCCTCTCTCTCTTGCTGGTGTCGTTGAGAGAGGTTGAAGTCCTTTGTTGGGTTGCCGCCGATGTGAGGATGGCAACCGCCAATTCCGCCTTGGCCAACGGAGATGAAGTGGCAGAGGGACACTAAGGTGAAGGTTACGAATAGATATATATATGATTTATTTACATATATACTTACGGACTGGGTTACAGATCTTAGGAGCTACGCGAGACCTCTCGGAGGGGGCGTCTTGCCCCCTCCGATGCTCAGCATAAAACTCCCTTCCTCTTTCCCGCGCGCCCCCAAAATTCCAGGGATCGTCCCCACTTTCCCGGGCGTCTGGTCAGCATCGCTTGTCACCTCGCCGGGTCGCTCCGCACCCCCCGCCGTGTCGTTCCGACCCGGCGGTTCTTCTCGCCGACTCCCCACATTTCCAACCCTGGTGCCCGAGATTCGGGTTACTTCGGAATTCGTTAATTGCCGTCGCGTCCGGGACTCGTGAACCATTGCAAGCCCCCTGTTTTCTTTTGAGCCCGTCACAAAAAAAAACCATACAAGAATATATATACAGAACACAGTTTCCCCGAAAGTCCTGGGACCTAACATCTCCCCCCCAACTGTGTTGCTCGGGCTGCAAGAACGAGCAACACACCAAAACAAAAACACGAAGTCTCAGGACCTAGACGCGAAGTGTTCACCGTGCAGCCTGGAACGGCGATTAGCTCTAACCTTCCCGTATTACAAAATGAAGCTCTACCCTTCCGGTACATTCGTAGTAAAAGCAAACACGGAAACACAAACACACACAAAAAAAAAAAAAGATGCATTAGCACTAGCACATAATATTATATGGTTAGCACAACTCATATGGGAGGCCCTAGAGATCACTCCACCGAACGTCATGTCAGCCCGGAGCCATACCTCAAGGCCCGCCGTCTCTAGGTCGCAACTCTAAGCCTAGACAACGCGTCCGCACACTGGTTCATTGACCCCTTAATATGCGATATAGTTATCTCGTAGCGCTGGAGCGCAAGGGACCATCGCGTGAGTCGCGCGCTGCTCGGGGATGTGAGGGTGAGGTACTTCAGTGGATTGTGATCCGTGACCACCTTAATTTTAGCCCCGAAAAGCCAGGTTTCCAGTTTCGATAGCGCCCACACGATCGCGAACGCCTCTCGTTCGATTGTTGCCCAGCGAGTCTCCGTCGGGGTTAGTTTTTTGCTCAGGAAAGCTATGGGTTGTTCCCTCCCCTCCCCATTCTCCTGCGAGAGACAGGCGCCAACCGCAAACTCGGACGCGTCTGTCGTCAAGACAAACTCTCTCATCAGGTCTGGCGCGGCCAGTTGGGGTGCCTCGGCCAACTTCCCCTTGGTGGCGTTAAAGGCTGCTTCCGCATCTGCGGACCACGGAATCTGGTTTGCCACCCTCTTACCTGTTAGTTTTGTCAGTGGGAGCACCAGTTCCGCAAAATGCGGTACATAGTCACGATAGTAGTTGAAAAGGCCCAGAACACTTCTCAACTCTTTCTTTGTAGTCGGTCGCTCTAGGTCCCGCATGGCACGAGTGCGTTCGGGGTCCGGAGAATGGGATCCACCTCCAATTACATGACCCAGGTACTTCACCTGATCTTTGCCGAACTGACATTTTTCTAGGTTGACGGTGAGCCCTGCCTCTCCGATTGTTCTGAGTACTCCAGCTAGATGAGTCATATGCTCCTCCCAGGTCTCAGAGAAGACTGCCACATCATCAACATACGCACATGCGTACGCGGAGTGGGCCGCAAGCAGCTGATTCATCACTCGCTGGAAAGTGGCAGAGGAGTTACGCAGCCCAAAGGGCATCACTCGCCAGGCATACAGACCCCGAGATGTCGCAAAGGCAGTGCATGCCTGGGATTCGGGCTCTACAGGGATCTGCCAGTATCCCCGAGTCATATCCAGGACCGAAATAAAGTTCGCCTTGGCTGCCTGCCAAAGTAATTCCGTCGGCGCCCGCATGGGAAATGCATCAGGTTCGGTCATCGAGTTCAGGCACCGGTAATCAACGCACATTCTTACCGTACCGTCTTTCTTCATGACGCACACCACCGGGTGGCTGAACATACTCTCGACTGGATAGATGAGACCCCAGTCCAGCAATTGGTCTGTTTGTCGATCCACCTCTGCTCTGAGCTTCATCGGAATCTTGTACGGATACGTCCGCTTGGGCTTTGTCCCCGCAACGATCCCGATCTTGTGCCAGCCCACCTTACACTGTCCTGGCTTATCAGAAAACACGCCACTAAATTCAGCCCGCAAGCTGGTTAGGTCTTTGTGTTGCTTCTCAGTCAGGCGTGCGGCGCGATTAATTTGAGGCTCATTATTGGCCCCGCCGGACTCTCGCGCAGGGACGTACTCCAGTGCGCCGAACGCATCGTCAGCGTCAAAGACAACGCCCACTGCAATCATCCTAACGTAGTACCGCCTTAGTTTGTTCGCGTGTACAAGCCGCTCCCTTCCATCCGGCAGCTTCACAACATAACTGTGCTCTCTGACCCGCTGTTCGATCTTTACCGGACCGATCCACTTTCCTTTTAACTTACCGCTAGAGTCCTTCTCTAGGATCAGCGCTAGGTCTCCTACTGCAAAGGACTTGACCCTGGCTCTCAAGTTGTACCGTGCCGCGTAAGCCTGCTGGTTTACCACTGTATTATCCTGCGCCAGTTCAGCGTATTCTTTCATTCTTTTTCTAAGCTGCAGGAGGTACGACTGAGTGGACGAGTTAAGTCCCACGGGAGCCGCCCATTCTCCGGTCCAGTGCTTGCTCAGTAGAGTGAGTGGACCACTTGGACTTCTGCCGAACATCATTTTGAACGGTGACACGCCTGTCGTTTCATTGGGTACCTCATGATACGCCCACAATAGACATGGAACGTACTTGTCCCATTGCCCTCTGTGATCTTGAATTACATGACGCAGCATGGCTTTGAAGGTCCCATTACACCTCTCAACTAGACCGCTGCTCTGGAGGTGATCTGGAGTCGAGAACCGCATCTCCACCCCCAGCCGCTCTGTTAGCAGTCGCGTCAGTTTTGCCACAAAGTTTGTGCCCTGATCCGAGCAGATTAGTTGTGGCGCTCCGAATCTGGCGAACACACCCACCAATGCGTCACATGTTGCTTGCGCCGTCAATGATCTCAGACAGACTACCTCGGCCCACCTCGTACACAGGTCGACTATGCAAAGCGCGTACCGGTGACCCCTTGCCGAAGGAGGGTCAAGCGGCCCGATACAATCTATGAAGATTGTTTGAAATGGTAGCACAGGCCGCGAGAGCGGTGTGATCGGCACTCTATCCAGTACGTTTGCCCTCGACTTTACCTGGCACGCATGGCACGACTGGCAGTGTTTCCTGACATCTTGAGCCATCGTTGGCCAAAAGAACGCGCCCTTTATTCTCTTTTTGGTCTTCTTCTGCGAAAAGTGCCCTCCCCACGGGGAGTCATGCGCCAGCTCGAGCACCTTTTCGCGCCTGGACGCCGGCAACACAACCTGCTCACAATGTCGGCCATCAACGTCATCTTTGTGATACAGGAGCCCCTCGCGCACAACCATACCGTGTGTCCCGTTTTCAGCCTCCTTCCAGGCATCCCTGAGTGATTCGTCGTTGAGCCGCTCTCTGCGGAATTCTGTTACGCTTGTACCTTCTCCTGCATCAGCCGGACTCGCCACGAGCTGCACCTCGGCCTGAATTTCGTTCTCCTCAAAGTCTACTGGCTCACCCCCGAGCCCCTCGGGCAGGTCGGGGCCCAGATCACCGGCTTCAGCTTCAAACTCGGCTTTCGCCCTGAGGAGTTCATCGTACACGTCGGGTATATGAGCGCATCAATTCCCTCAGCCAGCTCCTCTGTTACCGCGCACAGGGTTATAACCTGTGGTCCGGTGTCGTACTCGTCACAGTCGGCCCGCAGCGGCACGTGCATCAAGTCAGCTGTTATTGACTGACCGAAGGCTCCGCGGAGAACAATGGGTCCCGAAGTTTCAAGGCTCCCACTTTGGATCACACTCCGCCTGATCACCGTGATATCCGCCCCCGAATCCAACCTCCCCTGGAATTTGTTATGCTCGGATACCAACGGGACCAATTGGACTCGTGACCCAATAGGAGTGTTTGTCGCGATGTCCCTCTCGTTTGCCACCACCCTCCGTAGCTGTTCCTTGCGATCGCGCCCTACACCAGCAACGGTACCGCCTTTAGGAACCTTATCCTTAGGCTTTGGGCAGCTGGCCCAAATGTGCCCCAACTTCCCACATCCGAAGCAGCTTCTTTTCTCTGTACCAGAAGCCACGCCTTTATCTTTCAGACTCGGTTCATTCCCCTCGCGATTTGGGAAAGGTGGCCCCTGTTTGGCCCTCGATTCCTTCTGCGTTCGTTCATAGTTTACCGCAAGTTTGGCCACTTCTGCGGGCGGTAACCATTTTCCTTTTTCGCTCAGGTCGACATATGCTCTCGTGTCTCGGTGCATCGTGCGCTTAAGCTGATCAGCTATCAGCAGCTGCCTCAGCATTTCCAGAGATGTCACCTCGCTACTTTTCAAATAATATCCAAGAAAATCGCCCAGCCGAGATGCAAACTGTCCCCAGGACTCCTTTTCGTCCTTTCTAGTTTTGTAAAACAGCTCCCGATACTCCGCTGGAGCAAGTTGAAGCTCCTCAAGCATCGCTCCTTTTAAGTCGTCGTACGACGGCATCGCGTCAGCAGCGATTCGGTTTGCGACCGATCTCATTCTCTCCGTGAGGAAAGGGAGGATCATTGCGCCCCTGATGCTTTCCGGCACGTGAAGGCTATTGAACATACTCTCCACCCCGGAGAACCACGAAGGCACCAACGGTTCGGCCTCTGGCATGTTGGACAATACGCCCCTTACAATCTGCGAGTACCTAAGTACCCCGTCCCCCTCCGTTCGCGCAGCGCTGGCTCCCGACGTGACGTCCTGCGCCCTGGCAAGTCTAGCCACTTCCATCTCTAGTTTAAGCTTTTCTATCTCCAACTCCATTAGTTCCTTTCGGAGCTGCAAAACGTTACTGTCCATATCGGACTCCCCTTCTGCCCCCAATTCACTACTGCTTTCAGACGACTGGCCTTTCTTGGTGGTTGCTCGCGTACCCAACATGACGCCCAGAGGAGAACAACAAAGGGACCTCCCACCTGGTTGTCGTGTTCGCCACGATCACGGGCCGCTGTTAGTCCCGGATAGCTGCACCAGGCTTGCCCGCTGCCGACTTGTGGAACTGTGCGGATCAGTTATCTTGAGGAACAGCGTCTGCAGCAATCCCCAGCTGCTTTCCCGTCACACCTGCGGCGACGGTCGAACGTCTCTTTTCCGGCGAGCTTCCACGGCTCCTCGTCGCACCTGCGGCGACAGCCGGACAGTCAACGTTCTCCGATGGTCTCGTCGACCTTGCGTCGCAGTTCCACGACGATTGGATGCTTGTTTCCGTATCCGTCAAGCTCTTCCAGCTCGCTGTCGCACCACCGGCGACAGACGGACATTCAGCACTTTCCGACGATCTCGTTGGCCTTCTTCGCAACCCTGGCGACGGCCTGCCGTCTTGTGTCCGGCGAGCTCCTGCGGCTCCTGATCACACCTCCGGTGACTGCCGGGCACTCCACGTCGTCTGGTGTTCTTGACCCCACGCCGCACTCACGGCGACGGTCGGACGTTGAGGTGTCTGCTCCCAAGGAACTCCTGCGGCCCACTGTCACGCCTTCGGCGACAGTCAGACACTCGACGTCCTTCTAGGGTCGCAGCTTCACTTCGTCACTCCAACGGCGACGAGTCCCAGTCATTCGTCATCTTCACCTGCAAAGCTCTTGGTGTCCCTTGTGATGAAGGCAGCTTTCTCATCCGAAATGCGGTGGCGGAATCCTTGCCGACTGCGCCAGTTAATTTTCTCTGTGCCTCTCTCTCTTGCTGGTGTCGTTGAGAGAGGTTGAAGTCCTTTGTTGGGTTGCCGCCGATGTGAGGATGGCAACCCCCAATTCCGCCTTGGCCAACGGAGATGAAGTGGCATAGGGACACTTAGGTGAAGGTTACGAATAGATATATATATGATTTATTTACATATATAGTTACGGACTGGGTTACAGATCTTAGGAGCTACGCGAGACCTCTCGGAATCCTGGTGGCGTCTTGCCCCCTCCGATGCTCAGCGTAAAACTCCCTTCCTCTTTCCCGCGCCCCCAAAATTCCAGGGATCGTCCCCACTTTCCCGGGCGTCTGGTCAGCATCGCTTGTCACCTCGCCGGGTCGCTCCGCACCCCTGTTAGGTCCCAGGACTTTCGGGGAAACTGTGTTCTGTATATATATTCTTGTATGTTTTTTTTTGTGACGGGCTCAAAAGAAAACAGGGGGCCCGCAATGGTTTACGAGTCCCGGACGCGACGACAATTAACGAATTCCGAAGTAACCCGAATCTCGGGCACCAGGGTTGGAAATGTGGGGAGTCTTCGAGAAGAACCGCCGGGTCGGAACGACACGGCGGGGGGTGCGGAGCGACCCGGCGAGGTGACAAGCGATGCTGACCAGACGCCCGAGAAAGTGGGGACGATCCCTGGAATTTTGGGGGCGCGCGGGAAAGAGGAAGGGAGTTTTACGCTGAGCATCGGAGGGGGCAAGACGCCACCAGGATTCCGAGAGGTCTCGCGTAGCTCCTAAGATCTGTAACCCAGTCCGTAACTATATATGTAAATAAATCATATATATATCTATTCGTAACCTTCACCTAAGTGTCCCTCTGCCACTTCATCTCCGTTGGCCAAGGCGGAATTGGGGGTTGCCATCCTCACATCGGCGGCAACCCAACAAAGGACTTCAACCTCTCTCAACGACACCAGCAAGAGAGAGAGGCACAGAGAAAATTAACTGCGTCCTTATTTGACAGGGGCGTGGTGACGCTTTGATGGGATTTAGGATGACAGACAATTTATTTAGAGGTCGAAGTCTTTTCGCGTCCGTCGTCAGACAGACAGGATGTCAGGGAAAGGACCACGGTCAGTCCTTGATCGAACGTTTTTCTGAGCCCATTGAAGACTCCTCGTCGCCCGAAATCACTACCTTCAAGGCAAAGTGTCAACTTACAAGCCTACGGGAAAGTAATTTCAGGATCAAAAACTTCCACTCCCAACTCCATGCTTCATCCAATTTGGTCTCAAATAAATTTGAAATATGTATTGCAGTGTCAGTATTTCTGTGTTTGTTTTTCTGCCCTCCCTAAAATGTATTCCTGTATTTGTATTTCCAAATACTTTTTGTCTCTATTTAAAATGTATTTCCGATACTTATTGCGATACAATTTTACATATATATTTCAGTATCAGTATCTTAGCTACTAATTTAAAGTATCCCAGTATTTTTATTTCCAAATACATTTTTGAGTATTTCTGCCCAACCCTGTACTTCACTCTACGGACACGTTTTAAAATACTAATAACAAAAATAAACTTAATTGGGCGGTAAAACACGAGATTTCCAATTCTTTTATTTCTTCTTCAATATTCTTGTATTTTGTTTTATTTTGTTTTACTAAAGGTGACTCCTTTCAATCGAGTAGATATCTGGTGTTTCTTCTGGTGGCCCCGACGTTTTTCTGTAAACCAATGAAACAGGGTCGTTAAGGAACACAGCAGTTTTGCTCTTAATAGCAAAAATGACTTCTTCGATTAGTGAGCTATTTCTTTACAGTTTTTGCACGCCTCAAATACCTTCATTTTATATTCCATCACTATAACGATTGTCTTCTTTTTCTATAGCGTCTTTTTATTGTTTTTGCGGACATTGACTTGCGAAAACAATAAAAAGCCACGCGAAACAAAAACAAAAAAGAGTTACACTCGATTCACCATCCTGACAGAGACAGTGGAACAAATGTGTTGTGTGTTGGGCGCATGCTATCTCTGTGTGTGTGACGTCATAAGGTCACATGAATGTGACGTCACACGCAATTAAGGTGCCACATGACGTCATGGCGTCGCGTGACGTCCGCGAGTCATGTGACCTCGTAACTTTACGTGACACCATGGCGTCACGCGACCTAGTAGTTTAATGATGACGTCATGTCACGTGACGGTGGTGCTATGGTGTCACGTGACGTCACAGTCGTTCATGACGGTTCTTCATAACAGGCTGAAGTTGAGCTAGTTGGTACATAATTTCGTTCTAGCTGACCATTTACCTAAACTTCATAACACTTCCTCATGACGATCCTCTCACAGAATTCGGCTTATAAAATATACCCTGTATTAAAACAATCAGCAGGGCGTTAGGTGAAGAAGGCACTTCTGCCATTTCGCTTGTACCGGGCGGCTGAACGTGTTACTTGGATCTGTGGGGTCTCAGTAACTGAAACAGCGCACAGTCGCGATAAACACGGCACTAGCTTCATACACACACAAAAAAAGACAAAAATACGTATACTTTCTAAATGCGAAAGATCCGGCGATTGGGGAGGAGAGGGGGGGGGGGGGCAGAGTGGCAGGGAGGACTGATATGGTTTGATAAAAACACCAACGACATCAGAGTTTAAGAACGGACGAGACAACACATTAGGTGTTTCAGTTCATCCCGAACAGATTTGTTTTAAGCAAATCGTAAAATGTAGTCAACTGCGGCCTCTGCAAGTGAATTACACGTCCAGGGTGACATTATACAAGAGGAGAATTCTCACGATAAATCGGATGATTAACTAAATTTCTTAGTTCACTTTTTACTTCATGAAAATAAACATATGATTCAAATTAGAAACGTACTGAGCGTCAGCTAACACCACTATATCGATTAATTTTTTATAAGACTTAAATCACGTGTGAAGCGCGGGAATGCACTCAGAGTTCCACACGTGGAACAGGTGTTGCGCAACGCTGCAGGTGCTAACATACAGATAACAATTTTTTCATCTGCGATTTCTGAACGCCACGTTTCACCTGTTGAGCGAATGGAAATTTTAGCGCATTTCCAAGCTTTACAAGTGCTTCGATGTTTTTGTACTAAACATTAGTTGATTGGTTTTAGCTGATGCTCAGCAAGTTTGGAATTCAAACGATATGTTCTTTTTACCTAATCAAAAAGTTAATTAACATATCTCAGTTATTTACTCAACTTATTGTGCCAGTTATCCACCTATATCATGTCCTCGTTGCCGTAAAACTATCCTGCGTAAGTCACACTAATTTAAATTTAGTGACTTTTTTAATAAATATGTTTGAATTAAAATTATTAATGTGTATACAACATCTACTGTTAGGCTTTACAGGTTATTTTCTTACGCCGCAGAAGTTACAATACGGTGCTCTGTTCAGGTGTGCTATGTGGCCAGGGAAACATAATAGGTACTTTTAGCAAATCCTTACCGCGTTCCGCGTACCGGACTGCCGGAGCCTTTAAAGCAATAATTTTATACGCGCACATGTGCGACACCATGACCGTGGGGCGCGCGCTTATAAGCACGCTTAAAATGATACGGCAGTGCGGTACGGGGAACGCGGTAACGGTTTGTCAAAAGTCCCTAATGTAGGAGGGTTATCGTCACAATAAGATAGATAATTATCGAAGGTTCGTTCGTGAACATTTTAATTCGTTAAACAAACATAGGCCTCGAATTAGAAATTTGCTGAGCGTCCATAAAAGCCACTGAATAATCAATTTTAGAAAGACTTGGAGCGCGTGAGAAGCTTGGTGGTGCGAAGTTACCGCTGGTAAATAGGCACAAGGCTGGCGGTGCGAAGATCGCGAATGATAAGCTTACAATCTGCGTTTTCACACCGTCAGCTGGGGCCCGTTGCAGTATTCAGTGATACAAGGTACGCGCCTCGATACCCAGATTGAATTTAGGGCAAACCTGCGCTTGTTTATCTGTGGTTTTCTATGAGGCAGTTGGTGATTCCCTCTGTCTATAACGCGGGTGGAGACAAAGAATCCGCTCTAAAAGCGTTGAGCACAGGCAAGGGTACAGGGCACGAGCTTTTACCAGATGATCCAGCTGGTGCGCGAGCTCTACATTAGCGCTTCCCACGGTTTCGGCAAATACTTCGGCCTCGCGATCTTAGCATAACTTTTGCTCCAGTGATGTGTAAAACAAAGAGTTTCACCACATGAGCAGTGCCGACCGAATCTCA